TAATAAACTGTAGTATTATTTAAGCTAAACTTAGTTTAGGCTTTTATGATCGTGACATGACAAATATTATAATCAGTAGTTTATTATGATAATAAATAATGAAAATAGAATTTATCAAAACTATATAAATCGCTTAAAGTCCTTCGATTGTAATCAAATTAAACATTGTATGTGTAGCTTGGGATGCATTCGTGTAATTTTGTCTTCATCCTGTTTTGTTTTGGAATTTATGAGACTCGTCCGTTATAAAAAGCTCTTAATATTTAGACATTTTCGTATTCAATTTAAAATTTATTTTAAAATTATTAAATTTTATTTTCAATAAATAATTTAGATAATATATTATTTTGAGGTTATGAAGATGGCTTATCATATAACACTCATTTAATGCACATCCAAACACGATATATTAACTACAAATTGAGATTATGTTACCAAGGTTGACACCAAAAGCTTTAATAAAAATACATTTAAAATTAAGGCTACCGCAAATGAAAATTTACCTAAATGTAGGATACGAAGCAGTTGATGTTTTTTGCTCCTTATTCTATGGTGTGGGTTTTTATAAACAGAACATAGCAAAATAAATAATTTATTTAAAATGTGGTAGATTTGTTAATCTAGTATCAACCTTGTAGATTGGAAAGCAGGATCTTTTGCATTGTACCAACAAATTAACATAAATAAAGCATTAAATACAGGAATAAATTTTGGAAAACTTTAACATTTGTGTACTATTTTTTTTTTTTTATTAACTTATCGTCTTTTTGTATGGGGATTGTGCTTTAGCTCTACACTATCAAATATTATTATCAGTTTAAAATTGGTCCCTCCATTGCTTAAAAGAAACAACCCATTTTTTAGTTTTCTTATGGATTCAACATCTATGTTGAACAATTTATGCAATTCAACATCTAAAATGGATAGCTATATCAAAACATTCGAGGTTCTGAAAAGTACGTTATTATTAGGAAAGGATATAATTGTTTACATTCTTAATTTAACCATAAATAAAATAAGATGTTCTTAAACAGTATTTGTAAGGTTATGCAGTGAATGAACTAAAAAGAAGATTTCGTTGAGTATTTGGTGAGTTAGTAAAATCCCAGGAGCTCCTTTATGCAAACACAAATTTATCTCTTGTGTTTGAAGATATGAATAACTCCGCTTTCGTGAGATTATTCTTTCAAGAAAGCACCACGTTTCGCCAGGACATAATCATCCGTTTTATTTATGTTATATATGATAAAATGTTGCTAGAAAGAAATGCTCATTCTAGCAAAATAACATACCGTTGTGTGTACAGATTCGTTAATACAAAAGACGTAATATTTGAACCCAGTGTTACTGTAAGTGGAATTGGACATATACCAAATACACACGTATTCCGTTCATACTTTCATTATGTTTGTTTGTTATTTATATTTAAAGTCTCATTGGCACCTAACAAATCGAAGGATCAACTCAATTCTTTTTGGAGCTGTGCAGAACTTGTTTGCTGTGTGATTTGACTTCATGACCCACTGAAACTACCCGAAAAGAAACAACAAATTAAACATTCTAGCAATATAATAAAAAATACATGTTCGATATTTATAAACTGCAAACTTAACATAAGAGGGTAAAAGAACAATGTGGTATGCTAATCGAAAAGTTAATTTTATACTGAATATATTCATATTGACTAGAATATAAGAAGAGCAAAAATACAATTTTGGAGAGAATCGCTTCTGCGTCGTACAACTGAGAATACAGATCGTAAAGTATATTGTTATCAGGCGTACCAACCTGGGCCAAAGCTCAGTGAACACGTACATGATTGCCAAGCGCGTTCATTCTAGCAAGAAATACTTTTATTTATGTCTTTCGTCTTTATGGGCTCAATTCACTTGCGTCAAAAATATCACAATTCGGCTTAGTATTTCTCTCTTTTAAATTAATCCAAAAATTGTTACATCATAAAAGTATTTTTATAGCAATGCTACATAAAAATACTTAACAAATATTCAAAGTTATTCAACAACTAACTGGCTACGTGGCGTTTTAGGATTTGAAAACATAAAACCATAGGAAAAATCAAAACGACTATCGGGAAAGTTTGTTCCCGATAAGGCTTTTTTGTTTTAAGACATTCTCTGCTCTGTGTTTAACCCAAACTCACTCATAAAATATACATCAAAACAGACGTCTCAATGTGCGTATTTGTAAACTGTCTTTGGTTTTTCGATTCAAACCATATAAATCTAAAAAGATGTAAATTAATGTTTAAATTAACATTTTTATTTAAATTTTAACTGTACCTTAAATTATATTATAACGCAAAAATAAATTAGGAATTTAAGTTTAAAGTAGAATTTTTTTTTTAAGTGAGAATCAGTATAAATATAATCAGCAGGAATTGCCATTGCCTGACGAGGTTTCAAAAAGCCTTGAGGAAATATGACACCCGATAATTATTAAATTTGACAAATGCATTATGCTAATGCAAGAGAGGAAAATGCGTAACGAGAACAACAACTCTAATAATAGTTACTACCTGTATGAAAATAGCATTAAGTTCAAATACAGTATGATAATAAGAGTTGAGTATCTAAATTTATTTCGTCTGGGTCCGTATTCTAAGATTACCGACATGCACATTTCTACATATTTGTCATATATTATAAATAACATACAAAGTAATGTTATCCCAAAAATGACGCTGAAAAATTATCTATATCTATAAAAGAGGAAATATGTATGTATATACCCTATGGACTACGAAACCGCTCGACATATTGTAATGAAACTTTCAGGCATTATTCAAGGATGGTTTGTGTGACGTTTGGTGCAGATCCGTCAAAAGAGCTCCGTCCCAAAGGGTTTGAAGGGATCCAATGTCGGACTTTTGGAACTACAATGTACAAATAAATATAATTTAAATGCAGATTTTTACTTTCACCGACTGTTTTTTTAACCAACTCCCCCACTACCAACAAAAGGAGGAGGTTCTCAATTTGTTTGTGGCAATGTTTTTTTATGTATGATCACGAATTTCTCTGTGATTCTTTTACCGATCAGTGTGGTTCAACCACCAAAATAACCAGGAGAGTTTCTATTTGGTACCATATATAGCATCATAGAGCCGCATGAACTTAAAATACGTGAGCTTGACTAATACCAAAGTTTACTTTATGGAAATTATTTCATTCTTTTTAGAGCGTTTGAAGTCGGTTGTATTTTTTACAAAAATAAATTATAGGTTTGAATAATCACAACAATAATAAAAATAATGCAAATATTTTCATTTTAATTTAAATTCTAACTTATTTGAGAAAATTTATTGGTTGAAAATTTGAGGGGAATTTAATTTAAGAATTTAATTAATCATATAACAATTATAATCTTTATTCTTATTACAGTATCCTGTACAACTCCCATCAGAAAAACAATTTAACAACTTGCTGCCTAAACAGAATTATACTGTAGTATCAAAAATATTTAAGTATTGCGACCATTTCAGCTGTCGGCTCCTCTTTAACCGGTTGAAAACTAGTAATATCAACAATCACAAAAATATTTTTGTTTCTATTTTTTCCAAAATTTGTTTTTATGAGCTATATTTAATTTACGTAACTGGTAAAAGTGCTTTTCAGACTAAATATTTATTATTTTGTGTTTTCATGTATAATATCCTGGTAGGATATCCCAGGAATATCCTGGTGGGATATCCCAGGGATCAGGATTTGGGCGGACATAGGGATATCCCAGGGAGTTCCCCAGGACATTGCGAGATATACAGAGGATATCCCCAGGACATTCCAGGATATTCTTGTGTTGTGTGGGTAGGGAAATAGGAAAAACCAGGGATACATACAGGCTTTTAAATTTAAAAAAGAAACAAACAAAACTAAGAAAGAAAACAAATGAACACTTGCCCATAAAGGGGAGAGGATGAGTTAGAGCGAATCTCATTAATCCCTATCGCTCAGGGTGGTATTGGGATGGGAGTCGTGCTGTTATAATTGTAAAACACAAAATACTAAACGAAACTTAAATAACTGTACCTTAAGATTTCAATAGTTGCCTTCAACTTTATGCCAATTACTTGAGTTTTTATTATTTTTTTATGTCCTCCATTTTCCCTGATACACCGCCAAGTTTTTTCCACATGGCACCAACAGTCACTTGGCGAACAAAGAGAGCAGAACAGAGTCCAAGCGCCCAAGTGTTGCTCAGTCCACAGGTCGATCGAAAGAGAAATCCCAGGAACCAGTTTGCTCTGCTACTACAGTATATCGTCAATGTGGTTGTCGAAGGTAAGATCTGTCACAAAGGTAACACCCAAATCTTTGACCACTGAGACTCGTTTCAACAAAAACAACTGACCATCTAATTGCATATTGAAAGTGGTACGGTTCTCGTAATCTGCCGATTGCCGAATGTCTTTAATGCTTTACTTTACTTTCTTATTGAATGGCGACCATACAAAGTAGGTATTTTAAGCCAAGTATGTGTCATGATTGAACACTTGGCAATATTCAGGGTCATTTTGTTGGAAATGCACCACTCATTAATTGAAGTTAAGAGTATTGTTAAGTTTGTTCGTTTATTGTTATTTTGATTTTAATTTATTTTCTGTACGTTAAGTACAACTTACCGAACTTACTTGGATACTTGATACTACTTGGATACTTGTATTCTTTATCTTTGACCGTGATTACGGATAGATAGCGTCAAATTTTATAATACTTTACAATAAAACATATATTTACAACACATAAATACTAAAGGCTAATAATTAAACTAAGGTTAACATAGCACCATTGAATATTTAACAATTAACATAGCTGATCAATTTGTATAGTGTTTGTGTAGTTATATCATATAAAATGGTTAGTAGTAGTCTATGGTGGACAACAATTTCTAAGCCTTTGACTATTCCCTAACCAATCACACCAGACGTAACACAAAAATTACATCCGTGCGTCCGTCCGTCAAATAATAACGTCAACTCAACGAGAACGAAACGAACACCACAAGCAAGCAAAGCAAACAAACATGGCTGAAGCAGAAATTAGTGATAAAACTGTGTTTGAAAACAATATAGGTGAATTAGAAAACAATTCAATGGACATGGAAATGAATAGTGTATCTAAACCTAGTAGTAAGCAGTGGGTTAAATTAAATGTTGGTGGTACGTGTTTTTTGACGACTAAAACAACTTTATCAAGAGACCCAAATTCGTTTTTATATAGACTGTGTAAAGAAGACTCTGACCTGATATCTGATAGGGTAATTAAAATATCCATTATAGCCTACCTACAATAATATTATTTTATTATTAGATTAATGAATTCCTTTATTCGTTCTTCAATATTTAAGTAAGAAGGGCCTAACCAATAACCATGCAAGTTAGGCTACTGACAACCTAGCCTAGGCTAGGTTTGACCTACTGTAATTGACAAATGTACTGCCAATCAACAATGTAGCCTAACTTATGTAAAATAGCTTTGGGGTACCGTTTCTTACCGGGCTATGCTAATACTGATTGAGGCTATCGATTCAATTAGTAAACCTTCATTCCATTTTTTCATTAGCAAGTTTGGTTAGTACTTAAACTTAGGTTCAAAGGTTATGACAGTTTAGTTTTATAATTGATAGGCTATAGTTAGCAATATCATGGTTACTATTCACATCCCCCAAATCACCTAAAACGTCCTAGGCTATAGGCCTAAGACGTTTTTAAACTGTTCCTAGACACCAACACTAACTTACAACTTTCTCAGGCTACAATTTACCTGGTAAGTTAGGCCTATCTACAAAGGTATATGATGTAATTTTTAGATGTCTATTTATCTTTTTTTTCACGCTGAATCCAAAAATGCAATCAGTTTTTGTTGGAGAGATTCCCAAGTGGCTTTAAAACGAAGGTTAAGATTACGAATCTAAGGTTAGTTGAGCGGTAGGCCTAAGTTACTGATGGTAATATGGCGTGGTGGAATGGGTCCGTATGTGGACTGAGAACTTAGTGAGGAGAGCAAATAGCTGTTTATACTCAACTTAATGCGGAATGAAATCAATTAACTTACCGTAGTTTTGAAACCAAATAAGTTAATCAGCATGTGGGTAGGTAGGTCAGGTTTTATGCGGATTCGTGATTTTATTTAGGTAAGTGCTTTGAAGTGAGGTTAGATTAGGAAGGAAAGTTTAGGTTATTATAAACCGACTCATGGGCCTAATTTATGCTACTTCAAGACTGTTTTGCACAATTGAAATTAGTGGTTGAAATACAATGAAATAAGTCAACAATTTAACAAAAAATCTTGCAGTCTGGAAGTAGCATAAATTAATGAGTCGGTTCATTATAACCTAAACTTTAACAACCTAATCTAACCTCACTTCAAAGACTTAATACAATCACGAATCCGCATAAAGTCCGACCTATCTTCCTCACATGCCTATGTCATGCATCCTCTTCTGTCATAAAAAGTGATTTTAAAAATTAATATTTAGTAGGTTAGGTTCTAGGTTAGATTAGGCCTAGGTTAAATTAAACTTAGATTAGATTAGCTGATTTTAATTTAATATAAAAGGGTTTCAATAATAACTTCTGTACTGCAGTAACTTAAATGTCTTTAAAATATTGTTACCTAGCATGGGATCTCTCATTGTTGGGGTTTCCATATTACACATGTAATATGCATGAAATTATGCACTGTGGCATGTTTTCACTTTTAGGCACAATGGGATTAGGGCCTATGCACTATTACCTATTGAAGTGGCAGTGTCATAGCTTCTATTACCTACTTGTATTTTACGAGAATAAATTCCATTGTTTTATAATTAGGGTAATGTTGAAGTGATTAATAGGTTAATTGTGTAGTTGAGTTATTGTATTTTCTTAACGGCGTCAAAGTCCATTTGCTATTACAAATCTAATTATTGCATATTGTAATTCAGATTTTGCTCTCATGTCGTCGTGTCAGTTTTAGTTTGTTAGCATCGATTGTAAACATCTAACAGCTGTCTCCACTCCACAAACCTTCCGGGGACCCCTTTCGTTAGTGCTAGAACTTGGACTCGTCCAAACCACAAATATCTGAATCACTCAACGAAACTGAAGTTTAGGTACCTAATATTAATTATTTAACTGTACAGCCACTTAGGAATCTCTCCGACAAAAACTGATTGCATTTTTGGATTCTGCGTGAAAAAAACTGTAGCCTAAGTAACTAAAAATAATTACATCATATCCCATTGTACATATACCTAGGTAGTAATTACCCTTTCTCAAATTACTTTTGGTCGCCGAGACTTCCTGTAGGACACCAGAACTAGATTACTAGACACTACCCCTAGAAAACTCGCTTAAACATCGTGACAGGGCAGTTACTATACAAGACACCTAACCAAGATTACTAGACACCACGCCCAGATTACTAGACACCATACCTAGATTTATAGACACCAAGCCCAATTTACTAGACATCATAAGGGTTTAAAAACTTGAAAACAGGACGATTGCTGTCCCCTATATCTGAGAAAATTAATACTCACCAATAGTAATTAAGTCTATTTTTTTCCAATGTGTAGCCTTTGTAGTTCATAAACCTGATCTTATTAGCTATAAAATAATTAATAACATTTATTATTGCCAGAAGAGAAATTCAACCTCTGGTTTTTGAGTAATCTGGGTCACACAAACAATCCTAAGTTTTGACAAGGATATCTACAATGAATTATGCAAATTATGATTCCAATAGCTTTTTAGATACCCAATAATACCAAAGTGTGAGAAATGTGATTGCTATAAATATACAAGATGTTAAAAAACTCTAAATAAAACTCTAAAAAAATTGCGGTAATGATATCAGGATCCTTCTATATTATTTATCTAACTCACAATACAAATTACAGGCTGCAATATTTTTTTCTTTAACCAATATACTGAAAAGTATAATTTTTTGCTTAAAAATAACCATTAAAGTTAGCGATTTTATTTATATGCATACAAACCACCATGTGACCCACTATTTCAAGAATGACTCGAATTACAAGTAATGTATGTCACGTGACTGACATTACATGTAAAGTAGGTAATGCGACTGACATTACACAGTAACTCAAACGTATAAATGGGGAACTTCTATGTATTAAACAACACTTGTGTTATCCTTTACTATAAAAGTGTCACCTTTTCGTTATTATCGTCTGCTATTAACACTAGGCGAGGTTCGTAATTTTCTCGCAAATCTAGGAGCCAAATTCTCACTGCCCACATTGTTGTATAATCCCGCCCATCATCAAAATAGGTAAAGTAAAGAAAGTAAACAGAAATAATTTTCAATTATATTGTCGGTTACAGAAAAATTAATTCTCAACATTGAAAACTCATAAGAGAAGTAATTTGGGTCACAGAATTCACCAAAAGTAATATAGGTCATACATCAGATCCTCAGATTTTGTGACCCAAAATACAGTGACCGACATTAGCATTTTCACTCTAGTCATTTACTAAAATGGAACTTAGAGGCCGTGGTTCCCTTTGCTGGCCATAAGTTTGGTTAAGTATCCGTCTGTCTTATATTTTTGTAGTTTTGAATAAGTTATTTACCATATTGTAACAGTTATTATCAATACCGATCATTACACAAAAACTTAACGCTTACAAAACAGATTTTAAATCAAGACTTTCCGTATAAACTAGAAAGCCTGGCATCACATAATGTCTAACCTACTTCACCCACAGTCAACAACGAACAGAGAGAGGGTTGAAAGACCTGACGAGAACTGGTTTCGACCCTCGAACCTAGCATTACATTCACGGCCAGGAACACGACTTTTAACGATCGTTATTGCCAGTATAATCTCATTAAAATGCCTGTTTAGTAATTTGTGTCAATATTTTAACTTTATAAATTAATTCAAACCAAATATTTAAAATTTATTGCCTTAATATTACTGAAAATATACAAGTTTATGTATCCAACTTCTAACCTAGGGGACAGGGTTTTTGCAATAAATACAGTAGAACCCCTCATATCCGGCCTTGGTTTTACCGGTCCTCTGTTTATCCGGCCCCTTCCAGGAAGCCAATATCAAAATCTTTTCTCACACCTTACAGACGTTTAGATACAAGCACTAGTCTTTGTGACTGCTCAAGTCATAAAATAAATTGTTCTCATTATTTATCTGTTTGTTTATACATTTATTTGCTGAGTCACTATAGTCAGTTGAGCTAGTAGGCCTAACCTCTGATCAGTTGGCTGATTATTTCCAAAGTGGATTTAGTACAGTACAGTACGAGTACATTAATTTTTGTATTTCACAAAATGGTTAATAATGTTGAGTAGAAATGCAAGTACCATTTAAGTCCTAATGATCTTTAAGTACAATTTATTGTCATTTTTACCTCCATTTAAATATGTTTTGTTACCTGGAATCATAATATTTGTACATTCATTACTTACAGTAATGACTTTAACCTACAAATATTTTTTTTCCTTTTTACAGACATGTTTGTTTTTCTAAAAATGATCCCAGAACACAATTAAATGATACTTTTGATTGCATATATTGATTGATTACCTATTATTATTAGGTATGAATTGTCATTTTCATAGTAGGTTGGTTTATCCGGCCAAATCGTTATCCGGCCAGGGGCTTGGTCCCGTGGTGGCCGGATATGAGGGGTTCTACTGTATACCCAATTAATATTCTTAGCACAAAACCTCTACAAGGCGAATTTCTCATGAACTATGAGGTTAACTCCATAGTATGTAGTTTTATAAACAGACGCTTAAGTCTCTACATGAAACCCCATCCATACCTCAGTCATTGTTTGGCACGTGCCTGTGTAGAGGAGAAACCTTTATAAGGCGAATAACGGCCGGTAACCTCGATAAAACTAACCTCTTTACTATGAATACCTCGATAATTTTTCCCCTACCCCTTGAAATTAATCTTAGAGGTTCAACTGTAATATTAACTTAAACCATGCTTTCAGTGACCTAAAGTTGTGTTCACATTAGGCAATTTTGGTTACAATTCCATATTCTTTTTCAGGATGAGAAAGGTGCTTATTTGATCGATCGGGACCCTACTTATTTCAGTCCTGTGTTAAACTATTTACGGCATGGAAAACTAATCATTAATAAGGATTTAGAAGAAGAAGGTGAGTCTTGAATTGATAAAGAGAACCATGTTTTCTAGCAACCTAACTTATTTATAATAGTTCTAAGTATTTTAAGGCTGGGTTTTAGCGAATTTCCCTATAGGGAAGTAGCTATTAGGCCTACCATAGGTAGCACGGTAAGACCTAGGCCCGGGACTGATTTACTTTTTCATTTTGATGCCCCCTGAGACCAAAAACGCCAACCGTTCAAAATGTTATATATTTGTTTCCGTAAACGCAATAACTTAAGTAATTTTTTTCCAATTTTCAAAAAATTTGGTTTTAAGGTGCATAAACTTAAATTAGTCCGCGAACCAGCATGATAGGAGCATGGGAACAGGGTTTTGCAGGGGGTTTTATAGTTAAAATTGGGTTTTCTCATTTTTGACGGTCCCTAAAACACAAAATTTAGCAATTTCTCTCTAGACCATTATAAAAGAGCTTAAAAAAATAGTAGGCTATATTAAAGAGTTTTTGTACGGTCATATGTTACAGAGAAAATATAAAAAAAATGTAAATTTAAAATTCCATTTTTTTTTAGAAATTTGTAAAATGCTATCGTTTGCTTGTTTATGGATATATTTTGATCAAACTTGGCAAATTTATTTATTTTAGGCTATTCTAAGCTATTATATTACTAAAAAACACACTTTATTAGGCTGCCTGTATTAGGCAGCAAACCTAGGTTAAACCTAATGTTATTTAAATATATTTAATTTCAAATTAATTCAGGCAAATGGAAATTCACTTAGTCTGCAGGTTTAAGCGCTGCGGCGGGGGTATTTTCATTTCCTTGTTGTAAAAACAGACTCAGATAGTCTTTTTATTAAATGAAAGAGTTCTAAAATAATTGGACACTTTATTAAACAAAATTAAGTTCCTTAACAGTATTCCTAACTTGTGATACACATACCTCTCTTATTTTGAGTGGTACACAGAATCCATTCTGGTGGTACATGATAATGTAATAAGTACGAGTATTTTATGTCAGAACAAGATTGGGGAGGAGTGTCAGCATTAGTTCAGTTTTGTGCAAACTAATCCACCTCTGAGTTTCCTACTGTCAAGTGCATAAAGACTATTTAAAAATCAGGTAAAGGCATAACCCAACAAATATGTAGGCCTAGGACCAAGGGCGGTTCCAGGGCAAATTTTCGGGGGGCATTCTGTCGGGGGTATGGGGGGTATTCTAATTCTAGGCCAGCGTGGCCACGACCACCGTAGGTTTGGGGGGTATGGAATACCCTCCATTGCGAGAGGGGTGTCCGGGTATAAAAAATTATACTTGCGAATTCGACATTTTAAGCATTCTGACGAAGTAAAAGTTTAATCTCTTGTAATCTAAATACCCCCGCCGCAGCAAACCTGCCGACTAAGCGAATTTCCATTTGTCTGAATTTAGGTTTAACGAGTACCTAGGTTTGCTGCTACAAGGAAACTAATAAAAGTGTGTTTTTGAGTAAAATATTGATAGCTTAGTACAAAATAGATAAATTTGCCAAGTTTGATCAAAATATATCCATAAACAAGCAAACTACAACATTTGACAATATTCTCCATAAGAATAACATGGGAATTTTAAATTTAAAATTTTTTTAATTTTCTCCGTTACTAATAATCGAACAAAAATACTTTTATATACTAAATTATTTTTTTTTTAAGCTCTTTAAGAAGGTCTAAAGAGAAATTGGGAAATTTTGTGTTTTGAGGGTCAAAAGTGAGAAAACCCAAATTTTTACCCCATAAAACCCCCCGTAAAGCCCCGTTCCCATGGTCCGATCGTGCTGGTTCGCGAACTCATTCAAGTTTATCCCGCTTTACACCTTTAAACCAAATTTCATCAAAATCGGACAAAAATTACTCAAGTTATCGCGTTCACGGACGTATATATATATCCGTACTAGCAGAGAACCCGTCCTTCGTACGGGATTGGCATTATACTCAAGCTTTGTGTTTGCAATGGGGGGAGGACACAGTTTGAAAAAAAGTTGCTTCTTTAAATTGACGATATACTATAGTACTATACATCTACCATAGCCATAATGTTTTACCACTTCACCTAAACAATAGAAGAAAAAAATCATTTAAGTTTAGCAAAATATCACAAATTATTCATGAAATTAAAACCATAAACATAACTGTAAACAATCGTACTTTGACAGTCCTCATTGTGTATCACAGATTTTGGTATTAGTTCAAATTAGCTGTTTTCATAAATGAAAAAAAAATAAGCGTCCTAGTGCTGCACCCTGTTGGTAAATCTTATAACTTTTAATGCATTTTCATATCATAGAACCAACTTCTTAGTTGAAACAGCTGACTAAATTCTTTAATTCCCTTTAAATATGAATACTCATAAGGTTAACATGGGGAACTAAAGAGCCACTGGGGCGGAGCCCGAACGGATTTTTGAGATAAGAATATGCCTATATGTTAATCGGGAATGTGAGCTATCATTATGCCAAATTTCAGACAAATCCGTCCAGTAGTTAATGCGTGATTGAACTTCAAACAAACAAACAAACAAACACACAAACTTTCACATCTATATATATAAAATCCAATGTATGTTTGTATATTTGTATGTTTGTATATTTGTATGTTTGTCCTTTATGGACTCCGAAACCGCTCGACAGATTGTAATGAAACCTTCAGGCATTATTAAGCATTATTCAAGGATGGTTTGTGTGAAGTTTGGTGCAGATCCGTCAAAAGGGCTCCGCCCCAGTGGCTCTGGAGTTTCCCATGTTAACCTTATGAGTACTCATATTTAAATGGAATTAAAGAATCTTAACAGCTGGTTCAACTAAACTATCTGATTCTGTGATGTTCAATAGCATTAAAAAGTTAATAGGTTTACCAACAGGGTGCAGCACTATATTTTTTTAATTTATGATAACAGCTAACTTGCAACCAAAAGGTGAGTGAGCGTAGCGAACGAACTTCAACCTGGAGGCGAGTTAGCGTAGCGAACGAGCTAACCTGAAGGCAAGTGAGCGCAGCGAACGAGCTCCAACCTAAAGGTGAGTGAGCGTAGCGAACGAACTTCAACAGCTAATTAGCAACCAAATGGTGAGTGAGCGTAGCGAACGAACTTTAACCAGGACATGATTGAGACATGCGAACGAACTCATCTTGAAAATGAACGAGCATTTTACATAAATCCACACTAGGACAGGACGACGTCTGTCGGGCCAGCTAGTTTATAATATTAGTAAGATATATATGTCCCTTGTTTTGGCCTTAATGTCTGCCTATTTTTAGCTCATTTGCAAGGTTTTATTAAAACGGATCTGAGAAGCTTAAAAACAATGTTAATTATACTGTTCTATATACCATTTTGTTTGGAAAATCATGGGCTTCAATATTATATATAAAACATAAGGAACATTTGTTTAAAAAAAAATCTTTAGGTAAAAAAAAAATATTTTAGAAAATTTTCAAAAAAAAAATAAGTTCGCGCTCAATGAAATTGTATAAATTATAGGCCTATAAATATTTGAAAATAGCCACTTTGTTCTAAATTTTATGAGGATTACAAATATATAATCATATAGTGAGGTAAGTTATCAAATAAATAAGTTATGAGTGAAAAACAGATTTCAGTACATTGCGTTTAGCTAAGAATGCATAGCCTAACCATAGCTAGGAATCTGGCTGATAATTTACATCAATATCACTACCTACTTCTTCAGGATCATCAACCAGCTCTTCAAAATTACTTAAATCTTCTTATAATGCACCACGTATATCACTACTTTTGATTTTTAACACTAAAACAATGATAAACGTAATAAAACACATCAGTCATCGGTCCGAGGATAACCAAGCTGCTTACAAATACGCACGTCAGCTGTCTGCTACAATTACGATCGGCTCGGAGAACATACAGCGCTGAGACAGACCTCTGGAGAAAGCTTATAATTTAACGAAAAGAACGATACCTAACTCGATCCAGTTCAATCCGATTCAGTCAGTCATAGAGCCTTTGCCGTAAACAGTGTTCGTGAGTCGCTGCAGCGACGCATGACACTCGGAGGGTTAAATATTATTTTCTTGCATTTTTAGGGCTACTAATATAATAAAAATCAAAAACATATTTAACAAAGTACCCTTTTAGTAATTATTTTATTTTTCATGACAACATGTTTCGGAACTAAGTCCATTATCAAGTCATTTTTACCATAACCTCATTCTTTAAACTAACAAAATTAAAAATATAATCATATGTAAAAATAATAAAATATAAACTATGTTAACTAAATCTTAATAAATTTTGGTATTAATTTTTTCATTATACTATATGAATGTTTTTCTTTCCTTCCTTAGTTTTTCAATTTTATCGTAGATAGGTTGGTTTAATTTTGGAATCATTGTGTTAAGTATATTGTTGGGGTCCTTTTTGTTGTGTATATAAATATTTAGCTCTTCTTTTGCATTAAGTTTCTCACGTTCTTTTTCATATTCTAAAATTGTTAGATTTTCTTTCATGTTTTTATAACTGTGGTCTGTGTTCATTATATGGTCGGCGAAGTTCGACTTCATTGATGTTTGATTTTTTGATTTCAATGCTTGTAGATGTTCTTTGAATCTTGTTTTAAAACTTCGAGATGTTTGACCTATATAATAATTGCTACAGTCACTACAGTTTATCTTATAGATTCCTGATTTGTTGTACTTTTCGTCTTCATTATTTTCTGTGTGTTTGATTTGTTTATTGATTAATTGGAATATATTGTTCTTAGTTCTGTAACTTACTCTTATATCCTAATTTTTAAATGTATTTCTTACTGCTTTAGTCATATATTTGTTATAAGGTATATATATATTTCTTTTTCTCTTCATTTTCCGTTGATTTTCTTTGCTTTTGTATTTTGTTTTTCAATTTCTTCTTTATCATATTGTCTATCATTTTTGCCCTGTAGACATTTTTCTCTGCTAAGTATTTAATGGTATTTTTCTCTTTTTTGAAATTTTCTTTATTCAAGGGAATATTAATAAGTCTGTGGATAAGTGAATGGAAAGTAGCGATTTTATGACTCCAAGGATGATTAAAATAGTATGGAATAATCATCGACATATAAAACTAACTGGATTGCGCGCAGGCCGTAAGGCTCGTGTAGAGCTTTCCGAGCCAATACAGGTGTGTATAGGGGTTGCCGCATGGGCAAATTGAAGGCAGCATGTGGGATATAGCGCGCGAAACCGTGTTGTCGACACCTGACCTTGGGCGCACGTGTGTGTTACAATAACCTCCCTACATATTACATATTAACGTACAAGTTTTCTCAAGACCACCTGGAATTGTTATTTTCCTGTATAAGATCTCGAGGAGGAAATAACAATAATCCAAATGTGAAACAGTTCCAGTGGGCTTTGAGAAAACTTATGTTTCGCAATGTAGGTTTACCCCATCTAGCCTACTAACTTACAATCATTTCTTTAATCATCAAATAGGCTGAATTCAAAATAAGAGAATACTAGCTTTTACTTTCAAAAATTCTTTTAAACTAACAAAATATAACGATAGAAATATATATCTATATATCAATAGTGTCCAGCCATCTGATAAAGGCAATTGCTTATCATTTGACTTCAATCGACAAAGTTCTGTAATGAGCTTCAACGAATTATCCCAAGTAGTTGGACATAGTGATGAAGCCGATGATGCTGATGATATAGAATGTTGTCATACATGTTAGATAAGAAGGCATAGAAGAGTCGTCTTACTATAAAGACAATGTACTATATTATATTTGTGGTTATGTTATTCGAAAGTTGGATCCTAAACTAAAATGTGAAGAATGCAGTAATCTTTTGGTAACTGGCGATTCAAATCCAAGCCCTTGCACTCATTTTACTGATTTTCTATCAAAAGGAAAATTAATCAGGGCTTCGCCAGATGTACTGAAAATTGTTAAGTTCATGTACAATCAAATTGTTGCATATTCCAAGGATTGGCAAAAAATTTGATGCTTCAAAAACTATTTTATTAGCATGTAGAACCTTTGCTGGTAACGTTTTTCTCAATCATAAAGGTAATAATGAATTTGGCGAGGAAAGCCATGACATGAAATTAACTAGGGTGGTCTGCCGTTACACTTTAGACGCATAAATGAGCGAAGCATTATTTAAAGATTGTCAATGGCTAAAGCAGCTAACAACCTACAATATGTTCCCTTTCAACAGATTCGCCGTTTGTTTGCCCGATATTATTTCAATTCTAAAGAATGACAAATTTATCTGATAGTTTATACTGCACCTTTGTAGTGAAACTGGCCATCCTGACCATTTGCTTGTACTTTGTAAATGGGCATAGCAGGATGTACTCGTGCAATCAACATTTGTTCTACAATCGTCAGGTCAGTTAATTCGTTCGGGACACTTGACACATCCATATTATTTAACACCGTGAATTTAGTTGCATTTGAACGACAACGCGAACAAATCGGTGATTGGTTTGAAGCTGTAAGTTGTTGGCGATGACAGTTAGCGCAAGTGTAATATTTTTGTGCATCTAATTCATGTTGGAATTGATTAGCTAACTGCCTATCATTATCAGCTTCTTCCGCCACTGCTTCATCTGGTTCTTCTTGTTCACGACGCCACTCTCTTACAATATTTGCATTATCGGTGCGACGACCAATATTACAACGTGGCCTTTGAGGCATGCTCAAAACAAATATAGCAAAACTGTTACTTCCATTGATAAACTGTTACATTCCAACTTTAACCTATGATGAAAGTAAACATTGAAATGTAAACAAAACAGTTACAAACAATGATCATATGTTCATCTTATTTAAATGAAACGAGATAAACCCATATGTCATAAACCCAATATAATTTTTCTTTCAACTTACATTAAAATAACAAGCGAAATTGCGTGACCCGTAAAATATAATCCAGAAGGAAATTTGCAAATATTTTTTACCAAAACATTGTGCTCAGTATTCTTTAGCTGTTGGCCAAATTGCATATCAATTGGTCAAGCCATTACATTCTGATGCCCTTACAAAGAAGTTACAAAGTGAGGGAAAGTGAGCTTCGCTCAATCAAACTAATTGGTATTATGTTTAACAAAATTATATGCCACAGCATTTCTAAGCGTAAAACAGCAGAAGCTTCTCTGTCAAAGCTTGGTATGCGGCAGAAGTTAAATAAGCTTATTCTTTTTAGCAATGTTTAGGCTAAATATGTTTCTTTGTTTTACAAAGTTTCCTAAATAAAATGTTTCTTATACAATCTAACCTTGTTCTTACTAATACCTTACCCCAGAATATTTTGTATTTTACGAGAAACTGATAAAACCCATTTTTTTTACATTGACTATTTTGTATTGTAACATTGAAACATTGATTGTTTCAAGCTTTTACACAAACAAATAAAGAAACTCCACTAAACACTAGCCAAAACTGCAAAGGTTATAACGTTTACATATGTTATGTGATGTCGCGGAATACACAATGTAAACAACAATGTTGCCAACTGTTGTGTGGTGTAACCAATCGTCATATCCACAGACCAAGCGACGCACATTAGCAGCAGATATCCCTCTAGACCGATACAATAAAATCAGGGATTTAAAATAGACCGTTGCTAAGAAATACGCTGATTAATAACATTGAATACCGACGCAACTGTGCGTCGTTAGTCTAATTCAATGTGACCAGCTGACGCAAATATGTGTCGGTGGTCTATTGTGAGAAACGAGTCGACGCACAATTGCGTCGCTGGTCTATGCGAACGTAAATTCCATATAATTGTGGTAGCGAACGAGTTAAAATAAAATCACAGAAAACATACTACTATTCCAGAATGCTAACCGAGAGAGCTTTGTCTGTCAATTCGTAGACAGCGCCACCAGCACTGCTCTGCTGGTGCATTGTATGCTGGTTGTACAATGCACCAGCATAGCAATGCTGGTTGCGCTGCCTACAAATTGACAGGCAAAGCTCTCTCGGTCAGCATTCTGGGTAATAGTAGTATGTTTTCTGTTGTAAAATATTATTATTTATTAGCTAAGTATAAAGCCAAGTTTTATCAACATATTTCCATAAACAAGCAACTACAACATTTTACAACATTCTCCATATGGATAACATGGGAATTTTAAATTTTCTACGTAACCAATAACCGTACAAAAACACATCAAGATACTAAATTATTTGTTTTTTTAAGCTCTTTAAAAAGGTCTTGAGAGAAATTGGGAAATTTTGTGTTTTGAGGGTCAAAAATTAGAAAAACCAACTTTTACCCCATAAAAACCCCCCGTAAAACCTTTTTCCCTTGGTCAGATCATGCTGGTTCGCGAACTCATTCAAGTTTATACCGCCTTACATGTTCAAACCAAATTTCATCAAAATTGGACAAAAAATTACTCAAGTTATCGCGTTCACGGACAGATTATGTGACTACGGATTTGTGTTTTTTATATATATATATATAAAAGTTTTGTTTTAACAAATAGTGTTTGGACTCTGGGGGACGTCAAAATGAAAAAGCATATCGGTCCTGGCTCCAGGTCTTACCGTGCTATATACGGTTATAGTTGCTTCCCTCTAGGTAAATTCATAAATAATGTTACAATGGGCATGACCCAATCAGACTAATAGACCTTTCAAACAAAGGCCTAAATTAATTGAATCATGGTAAACAAATAATTTAAAAAATGCTTTTGCCCAGTCAATTTAAAAGGGTCTATGGGTATCTTGTAGCACGTACGATAAAACATGTCTCAAAATATAGTTACCAATTCTCTCTCCAGGAGTACTGGAGGAAGCAGAGTTTTATAACATCACAGAACTCATCCGACTAGTGAAAGAACGCATTGTGTGCCGAGATACCCGACCTCTTAAAGACTCAAAGAAACACGTGTACAGAGTGATACAATGTCATGAGGACGAGCTCACACAAATGGTGTCCACTATGAGCGACGGCTGGAAGTTTGAACAGGTAAGTAGTCAGAATAATCATTAGACATGAAATAAATGCATGGACAACTGTAAACATTACTATTGTAATACAAAAGATTGTGACTTCAATGTATTTGTGTTTAGGCTTATTAAAAGTCATGTAGAAAATAAAAACAGAATCTAAAAGCTAAGTAAATTGTAAGGTAGGCTAATAGTTTCTAATAATTTGTGTACGCCTGTGTGTATCTTATTTCTTCGTCAACACAGTATTGTAAAGTTGTTAGCTTGAACATTTTAAGACTTTTAAAGGTTTAAATTTATCACTAATAATTGATAGATATTTTTCCAACTATTTAGTTTCAGTTTGTGAAATGTTTTTTGCATATTTTTTTACTTGCTCTTAACTAACCTATCCTATAAACAAATTACAGCTGATCAACATTGGCTCACAATACAACTATGGGAACGAGGATCACGCAGAGTTCCTGTGTGTAGTGTCGAGAGAGTACGGCCCTCGAGACAGGAACACCAAGGAGACTGAACCTACTGACAGGGCCAAGGTATTTAACTTACAAGTACATAGTGATAGTATGCAGTCCACTGAGAATGGTCAACTAAGGAAAAAAATAAATAGCTTACCAAGCATTTAATGACTCTCTTAAATTTTGGTTTTCAAAAATTAAATTGAGTCAAATGTAGGTTACATTTTTAATTTTTAAACTTATAGCCTATTTAACATATCATTCCCATCGCCTTTTGACATATCTTGGAATACCTCTTGCAACTTGGAACTTCCTAGCATTTTGTAAACACAATGTCAAATTCCAAAATACGATTGCAACGTAAATGTTAAATCTTGTAGCCTACTGGACAAACTGGTCCTTTTATAATGGTTTTAATACAGTAGACTCCCTCTTATCCGGACTCCTCGGGACCGAGGCCAGTCCGGATAACGGGGTTTCCGGTTAAACCGATGTCCCCAAAAACTTGTTAAGACAGACTGTTTACTGTGATATTCTACTTAAATTTAGGAGAGCATTGTATTAAGACATGTGATCACTGGTCTCAAATCTTTCCCACGAGAACAGACGTTTCAGTACTGCCCACTTCCTGCCGATCTAGTCCGGTTAAACCAATGTGCTGATAAAAATTGTCCGGTTAAAGAGATGTCATTTCCACCGAGTGTAGTCCGGTTAAACTGATGTCCGGTTAAAAGGTGTCCGGATAAGAGGGAGTCTACTGTATGTTAAGCCCCTATCACACGGAGCTGGTTTTCTCGCAGCTAGTAACTAGCAGCTAGAACCAGCAGAAAACCAGCATCGTGGACTGATTCTCCAGCTGCTTGAAACACTCGCATGAGCTGGTATCTCCAGCCGCTGGAGGTTTTAAACAGTAATATTACAAGCGCTTGAAGAGTCACTAGCAGGTCATGTGACTATCTGTAGTCTCTAGCACCATTCCAGCTCTGTCTGACAGTGTCGTGCTAGTTCACGCATTAAGAAAAATGAATTTAAATTAATTGAACACTTTTAAACTAATCGAGAATAAATTTAAACTTTCATGTTTCAAAATTTTTCACGCATTGTCATAATTTTCTTGTTGTTACGATTGCTACATCTCACATATATTAATTAAATGAATCAATGAATGTGATTTTTTGTGTCGAGGAAAGATAAAGTCCTTTTGTTATACGCCTAACACAACTTATTTGATTTTAATAAGTTAATTTACATGCCCATAGTAGAAACAAAATAATAGTTTTTATATATTAATATTTTGTTTTTTCGTGGCACTTTTTACTTCTACAACATTATTTTTGCTACCATTATTATGAGTGTGTAGTTACATCCAATTAGATTCCCAGACTTGTAAGTTGTAGCGCTAGTTCTCCAGCTTCGTCTGACAGGACTTCTAGCGCGCTGGAGAAATAACAACTAATGCTGCTGGTTCTCGCAGCAAAAAATAGCTGCTGGAACCAGCTCCGTGTGACAGGGGCTTTAATGAAGACTTAAGATACATAAACCACAAATTTTGTTGGGGAATCTATTTTCCTTTCTTATTAGGTCTTAGGAAATCCACACTTGAATGGGTAAAAAATATACCATCAGTTTGTGCAAATGTTATTGTAACCCTTTGTCTGTGACACCACAGAGTTTTCCTCCGGGTGCATTTGTTTTTATACAGAAATATAAAAACCAATATAACCAAGTAAAAGTAATATATCGTCAGCTGGTAACTTTAGGAGTAACAGTACCTTGCATGCATCTTTCTAGGAACCGATTGAACATTATTTAGATCTCACACCTCCCCCGCAAAACCCCTATTTATCAGTTGAAGCCCGAACAGTTGCGTAGTACGAGACCGGCTCCGTGCGTCACCGATAGTGTTGTTTTTGTTTGCTATATATTTCTTATAAATATGTAGGCCTAAAGTAAGTTTTTTTTTTATTTCATGAACAATTGTATTTATTATACATGGATTTTATACGTTTTAGTATTAATATAGGCCTATGTATACAAATGTTGTTTGTCTAATATTTCAACACACGGAAAAACACTCCATGTGTCACCGATCGTGTTGCTTATGTTTGCTATGTATTTTATAAATATGCAAAGTAAGAGTTTGTTATTGATTTTTTTTACAATTTATTGATTATAAATGGCTTAAATACATTTTTGTGTGTACAAAACACAGTTTTTGTCTAATTTTTCAACACCCGAAAAAAAACTCTGTGCGTCACCCATGTTTTAGAATCAAAGACACCGATGAAGGGTTAAATTACAAGACTATGTTTTTTCAAGATTTTTTCTAAGAGTAATATATTTTGTTTTAATACTTTATTCTTTCTCCTAATTTAATAATTGAGGTATTGTGTACCATGACAGGTTTTAATTCTTCTTCTTTAAAAGGCTTATGATTGTTGTGTGATAAGGTTTTACTTTGCTGCAATGCCTGCTGAGTAGTTTAACAGAGTTTTCAATAAACATGCTCACACTCACAGACATTTAGACAATTTGCCAACATTTGTGTGCAATATATTTATATTTATATGTATATTTATATTGGCAGCACTTCAATATAACAGATAAACAAATCATTCAAAACTCATGGCCATAACTCACATTGTTCACTAGTGCTGGCTGGTATACTACTAAAATCAATCTCCAAACTTAGTAATTCATACATATGCACAGTTATTGAAAATTAGTTTTTTCTTTACAAATGTACAGTCATAAAAAGTTTTTACCAAGTATTATTTGTTTGAAGAGTATAAATCACACTATTTTGATGCAATCTTCTGTTTGTTGCGCTTACTTAAATAAATTGTAAATGACACTTCAATTCTCTTTTAATAGTTCTGGGAGAAAACATTTAAATTCTTCAGTTAGGGACACCTATAGAACTACGAAATATGGTTTTAATCATGTTTGTTAGTTCTAATACTTGTCTTTGAGAAATTACATTTAGTTATAATGTATGTCGGTGATAATTTAATTTTGGAATAAAGATAATTTTGTTGTAATGCGTTTTGAATATTAATTTCAGGTGTTGCAGCAGAAAGGATCAAGAATGTGAAGATTTGGACAGTAAAATGCCTCACCTGATGTACTCATTTTAGCAATTCTAACTCTAGTTGAAGGTGACAATTCACTGATTTAAAAAAATAGCGGCATTATGATTTTAAAGTATTATTTATGAAATTGTATTTTAAGAATGTGCAAAAGTACAACAAGGTTTATAAACTTTTAGCCTAAGTTATTTTTTGGCCCTTGTCAGTTTGACTCAACCAATTTTGATTTTTCATATTATCAATATGGTTATAAGTATTGGTTCTTGCCTTGCATTTTTTACCTTGCCGCTGGGTATACGGAGCAAAATCGATTTTCATCTGTTTTTTGCTCATCCTATTTTTATTCTAGCATAACTGTTGAGTATTTTTACTATAAGTTTTATGGTCAGGTCTTTGAGTTTAAAGCGTGTATCTGTAATCAACATTTAGTTTTCCAGAGAGGGTTTTAGTGTTGTTTTTACTGCAATAAAAATGTTTAAAGAAGAAGCTAATTAATTTTGACATCTAGACAGCCAACATGATGAACTTTTTTGCAAGTTGGGAACAAACTTGTACGTCACTCCATTCAGACAGTTTTTATGAAGATTAATCTTGAGAGATCCTACTTGTTGTTTACACAAATCTCCCAGTAAGGTGAATGATAAGCCATCCAATTAATTGAATGAACAATGTGAATAGTTATATTGTTGTAAATAAACACAAAACCTACATGTGAAATTCGAAAAACAAAGTTTTCTTGCCAGCATTATTTGTATTGCTTTGGTATAAAGGAGAATATAATTCCTTGTGCTCCTACTTAAACTCAAGCGGAGCGTTTTCTTGTAACATTGTTGTTCTATACATTAACCCCTTCTAGCTTGATACTCAATAGAAGTCAGCTTTAAACATGAAATATCAATTGTGCCGATATATTGGGTTTCCAATGAGATGTCGGTATCACTTCTTTTGTAGATACAATGACCCCAATCAGTAATGAATCATCAAACTATTATTAAAGTTTTGTTTTTATCAAACTGATCAGTGACTATATCATTCACCTTTTGGGTTGGTCCTTTATGTATGGCATTTAATTATGCTGCAACAATTAAAACACAATTAATTATGAATTAAGTAAATCTATTAATAATTGACGTAATCCTATTATTATGTTATATTTTTTTCAAAAGTTATGGTTTTCTAATCTTTGTTTGATAACTTTCATATTACATGAAACTTAATTCATCATATTATGATGAAGTTTTTTTCCCCTCGTAGAGAAGAACAATTATTTTTGCCTATATTCTTCAGAGTTGTTAGTTGTTTAGAGTAATAAATAATGTTCTTTATAAAAAACTTTGTATAAAACCAGTTTGATTGTTTAGTTTTTTTTTTTCATTTTCTCATTCCTAAACTCATTTCAAAATTTAACATTGTGTTCTATGAAATCGTTTAGCGATTGAGTTACCAATAAAACATAAAATATTATTTATGGTTGGCAGTTGTAACAAAAAATCTATTGTTACAACATTTTGTTAGCTTTATATCGGGAAAAGATTGTACTTTTGTCTGATAGTTTTAAATCATAAGGTATTATATATTGTTATTGTGGGTTGTAAGTATTGGTATTTTTTTAAGATATTACACTGAGTGGAAACCATGTCAAGTTTCATGATAAGAACTGTACATTCACTGCCCGAATATAAAGTACCTATTTATTAACACTTTTATAACTTGGATCTGTTAACTTTTCTCACAGTTCATTTTTAGGTCTGTGAGTATTTTACCATTAACCTAATCCTGATAGTAACATAGAGATGTGTTTCATTAACATTATTAGGTCAAAAAATCTAGTTTTTGTTTTCCCTATAAAAATAATATTTTTGTTGACAATTTTAATATGGTGTCTCCATGCTTGTTTTTGTACCAGATAATTAAATTATGTGATTTGCGTAATTTTCTTTTTGCTCCTTCTTGTACATCCTTTTTTTGTTAATCATTTCTCTGATATTGAGAAAAAAAATACAGATAAAATAGTGGGTAATATAAACTTTATTTACATAGAGTACACAATAGTATTTAGTAAAACTTATTTGGTTATGGCTGAAAGACAAGAATTAAGATGTAGTGACTAGACGAAGAGGTCCCTCAAGGTATTGAGCCAGGGCTTGCGCTTTTTCTCGTAGGATGCCAAATCCAACAGATTCTTGGGCATAAAGACACAGCAGAATATTAGCCACTTGGGTGATAGCCACTTTACCTGACTGAAAAAAAAGTTATATGAAAATTTTGTCATATTAGGCCTACTGGAGGGTTTACAATTAAATTTGTATTACATTAAATATTCCTTAATGATTCATACCGATTAAATACCCATAATAACAAATTAAGGTGATTGAAGGAGTACAACTATAGCAACCCAGCAGGCGCACAGGCAGAGTTTGTCTATGACTGCTGATTCCACAGACAAAATACAAATTATAACTAGCTACAAAATTAAATGGTATATTTTGTACCTAGGGCCAATAATTAGGTTTTGCCAGCTCGAGATAGTTTTTAAAACGATCGAGAGCTGAAAAACATTTAAATCATAAGCATCCTGTTAATCGTCTATGACTATGCAATGTTTCAGGACTTTTCACGGTTCTAACTATTTCAAATTACGATTTTATTAGAGCAGCGTCACTGCTCGATATGGTCGCTAGGCTGTTTGCCCCCAAGGCGATGTCACAATACCCTGCCCCGCACCACCCTCACTCAGCTACGATGTGCAGTAGCACGTACCTGTCTCACTTCCACCATGCATTAGACCTAGTCTTAAATAATGTGTAAAATGGGTTTTGGATAGAGCCCAGCATCCTAGAATGTGAAAGTTTGGTTAAAAATTAAACCTTTTATACATGTAAATATTATGTCAGCAAGTTGATCAATCACCGAAATGCTTTATTACCAATCCTTATGCTCCTTTCACACTTTAAGGTTTTTGCCATTCGGTTAAAAACCATAAAAGAACAAATTTTTTAAAAAGTGTATAAAAGAGTATGATGGTAGAGAACCATGCAATTATTATAACTTAGCTTTGTTGTAATGATAATAATATTTGTCTAACTGTGAATTGATAAAAAAACATTTACCTCGCTATATGGTCAGAAACTGCCCAGGTAATATGAAAGACACAGCATAAAATTGTAGGGTTTTCAACAGAACAGCAAAGTAGTAGGTTGTGTCCTCGCGCCATTAAGTTTCCGAGTGCAATTCTGTCTCTCTCTGTTTTGTTTCAGTAGGCCTAGATCTAAATTGTGTGCTTTTTGTAGCCAAGAGCAGTTTTATTCTCATAACTTATTATCTTATATTTAAACTACATGTACAAATTGAAAATGCATGTAGATATTTAATACAGTGTTTATGATTTAATCTATATAAATAGAATTACAGTTTTGTCTGTAGGCCTACATTGCTTAGAATCATGCAGTTTTTGGTTATTTTTACGTTTCGTAGCCTAAGAAAGCCGAAACGAGTCTTATATCTCAATTTCTGTCTGCCTGTCTGTTTTCCATTCTGTCATTCCGTCTGTGACGCCAAAATATCATTTTACGCGGCCTACTCCTAGAAAACTAGAGTACCGATCAAGGTTCTAATCATTTTTCTGTATTTACTGAATTGGTGAGAGTGTCTTTGGCTATAAAAACATGGCCTCGCTTCTTTGAAAACAAAATAACGAACCATCAAAAACCCAATTTTGTTCGATTTTTGTCAAATTTTCTCCCAATGTAGACCTATTACCTATTTGTAAACCTATACACTTTATGAAATAACGATCAGCTGTTTGGATTAGTTCTCACTTCTAGCTGTCACTGATATGTTTACATTAAGAGTTGTTTACAAATACTGCAACCATTTCCGATCAAGTTTTGTTAGCACATCCAAATCAAGTGAGATTAAAAACGTTGTGCCTTACTTAACCGGTTTAATTAATCGCAAGCGTAACGATTGTTCTTGAGTTTTGATAACCGGGAAAAATACCGTGAATCAGTGTTGTATTAGTGCTGGGCAACTTACAATTATTTAATCATCGTCACCAATAGCATACAAAAAAGGTTTTCACTCATTGACGGCGCTTCAAGGACAGTTGTGTAAAGTGCAAAGTAAAAAATCATAAGTGCAGTGGGTGATTGTGGATGTTGCTGCGATCTCGGAAGATCTTTCTGATTTCGCTGTGATCGTAACAGAAGTTTAACTTACAGATGTAGCTAAACTCGCTTTTCCAATGTGTCACTTTTGGTTTCTACTTACTTACATTTCGACAACGATATCGGTACTTTTTCTACTTAGGAAGTAAAACTACAAACGTCCAAAACCCAAGATTTGTGCGTTTTTTGTCACATTTCCTCCAAATGTTTGCTAGATATATGTACTGATTATCGTTTAGAGATTACGCAATCTTTTAAATAAGAAACCTTTGTTTAGATAAAGGTGGTTCTTTCAAACTGTCATTAATATGTTAACATTAAAAGTTGCTTACAAATAATGCTATTAAAGGGAAATAATTATTTCTTATTAAATTTAAATTGATGTCTTACTGTATAGTTTTTGCATTTTCGGTCCGGACTCCAAAATAGTTTATGCTATGAAAATGATGAAACATGAGTGAACGATTTTTTAGCAAACCATCTTTTACCTTCGATAATCCGTAGATCGGGGAATCGTCATAGTTCTTCCGTCATGACGGGATTTCGCTGTGTGTTCACGAAGTGAGCTGGCGTATGTGTGTTTATGAATGTTCCTCTGTGTATTCGTTTATGTTGTAATATGGTCTATTGGTGAGGTATTTTTTTAGGTGTTGGGCAAATGTTTTATTGTTGTGTAGACGTTTAAATTGTTGTGGTAGCAAGTTGTAGAATTTTGAGTTTTTAAACTTGGCGTTGTTAACGTATAAATGTTTTGTGGACTGTGTATCTATTTACTTATTTATATATTTGCCAACGGATTTACACAAATTTTATAGTTTGATAAAGCCTAAAAACGATTAGGGCCTATCATAAAATTTGATGACACTATCAAAATTTCAAATAATTATTTTGTTTGTAATTTGTTTTGGTTAAAACGCAGCAAATCCCCTAATTCAATTCAGTATTTGTGTGTGTATGTCTGTTGGTAACGCATGAATGTCATTATTTCTCAGTGTTTCGTGGAAAAGACAAG